TCCAACAAACACCCACAGACACACCCACATATACACAGACACACTCCTACATATCCCCCACACACACAGCCCCCAACACACACACACACACACACACCCCCCTATAGAAACACCCAGACCACCACCTCTCACATATACACATGTGGACACTATCTGGTCACTGATAAAGGCCTGAATTGATTTAAGACTTTTAGGCCGGGCGCGGTGGCTCAAGCCTGTAATCCCAGCACTTTGGGAGGCCGAGACAGGTGGATCACGAGGTCAGGAGATCGAGATCATCCTGGCTAACACGGTAAAACCCCGTCTCTACTAAAAAAAAATACAAAAAACTAGCCAGGCGAGGTGGCGGGCGCCTGTAGTCCCAGCTACTCTGGAGGCTGAGGCAGGAGAATGGCGTAAAACCGGGAGGCGGAGCTTGCAGTGAGCTGAGATCCGACCACTGCACTCCAGCCTGGGCGACAGAGCAAGACTCCGTCTCAAAAAAAAAAAAAACAGACTTTAAGACAGAAGGCAGGCAGAACATAAAATCAGGAGGCCATTTAGTTAGACAAACAGCTAATGCAGGGAAAGGCAAACCAATGCAAGCACAAAGAAAGACCTTCAGTGAAAACAGGAAGGCCAAGCACGGTGGCTCATGCCTGTAATCCCAGCACTTTGGGAGGCCAAGGCAGGAGGATCACTTAAGCCCAGGAGTTTGAGACCAGTCTGGGCAATACAGAAGACCCCAACTCTACAAAAAATTTTAAAATTAGCTGAGTGTAGTGGCGTGTGCTTGTAATCCCAGCTACTCAGGAGGCTGAGGCAAGCAGATGGCTTGAACCCAGGACTTCGAGACCAGCCTGGGCAACATAGTGAGACACCGTCTCCACAAAAAATAAGCCAGGCATGGTGACATGCACTTGTAGTCCCAGCTACTTGGGAGGCTGAGGCAGGAGGATTGCTTGAACCCGGGAGGTGGAGGTTGCAGGGAGCTGAGATCACGCCACTGTGCTCCAGCCTGGGTGACAGAGTGAGACTTGGTCTTAATCAATTAATCAATGAACCATACAGGTAGAATTACCCTATAACCCAGCAATTGCATTCCTAGGTGTACACCCAAAGGAACTGAAAACATGTCTGTAAACATATGCCTGTAAACAAATGTTCTCAGCGGCATTATTCACAATAGCCAAAAGGTAGAAATAACACAGACGTTCATCGAAGGATGAGTGGATTAACCAATTGTGGTCTATCCACACAATGGAGTATATTCATCCACAAGAAGGAATGAACCGCTGGTCCACGTCACCATGTGGATGAACCTTGAAAACATGATGTTCAGCAAAAGATGCCAGATGCAAAGATCACGCATTCTACGATTCCATTGATATAGTATACCCACTATAGGTAAATCCAGACAGAATGCAGACTGATGGGTGCCAGGGGTTGTGGGGAGGAGGGAATGGGGAGTGACTGTTAATGGGTTTGGGGCATTATTTTGGGCTGACGAAAATGTTTTGGAACTAGGTAGAAGTGATGGTTACACAGTACTGTGAATGCACTAAAAGCCACCTGATTACGTACTTTAACACTAGGTGAATTTTAGACAGAAAGAAGGAAGGAGGGAAGAGGAAAGAGGAAGAAATGTTGGCGGGGCAGCGCTAAGCCCACTGTTCACTCTTCCTAGGCAGGGTCGCGCTTTCCACCCCAATGCCTGCGACAGAGCAGGAGTTAATCAATAATAAACAACGTGAAATCCACAGACACCAACCAGAGGCTTCCAGATGTTACCCTTCACACTTACTTTACACCGTGACCCCTCCCCCAAACACACACACCTATATATCCAAAAGTTTTACAGATAATACTCAGATCTATTATGAGTAATGCACTGTGACTTTTGACGAACCCATTAAATTGATTTTGCACATTTGGGAAACAGGCCAAGATCACTTAAGAGGCACTGCAGTACTAAGAGCTTTAAGAATACCTAAACGCTGAGGCCAGGCATGGTGGCTCACTTCTGTAATCCTAGCACTTTGGGAAGCCGAGGCAGGCACATCACTTGAGGTCAGGAGTTTGAGACCAGCCTGGCCAACATGACGAAACCCCGTCTCTACTAAAAATACAAAAATTAGCGAGGCAGGAGGGAGCGCACCTGTAGTCCAAGCTACTCAGGAGGCTGAGGCATGAGAATCACTTAAGCCCTGGAGGTGGAGGTTGCAGTGAGCCGAGATTGTGCCACTGCACTCCAGCCTGGGCAAAATAGTGAGGCTCCATCTCAAAAGAAAAAAAGAAAAGAAAAGAAAGGAACAGAAAGGGAAAGAGAAGGAGAAAAGGTAATTAATTGAGAGAACATCTTTTTAATACTGCAGAGAGCAGTTACAAGGTGGTTAGTACATGGTTACGTGCACTAGACTCTATACTTGGTGGTGAGCTATTCATTTATTTTTTCATTTTAATCTGAGCTCCAGAATCTTATTTAAAATTTAGATTAAAAAAAAAATGCCAGGCGCGGTGGCTCATTCCTGTAGTAATCCCAGCACTTTGGGAGGCTGAAGTGGGCAGGTCAGGAGTTCAAGACCAGCCTGGTTAACATGGTGAAGCCCCATCTCCACTAAATATACAAAAAGTAGCTGGGCACGGTGGCAGGTCCCTGTAATCCCAGCTACTCGGGAGGCAGAGGCAGGAGAATCGCTTGAACCCGGGAAGTGGAGGCTGCAGTGAGCTGAGATCATGCCATTGCACTCTAGTCTGAGTGACAGAGCAAGACTCCCTCTCAAAAAAATAAAAAGCGAAACTACTCTTAATGTCTCTTTCATGGCCCCTGGTAGATCTACTTCCAATTCACTCATGTGCCTGCAAAATACAGGTGGTTCATTGTAAACATTTCAGTCATACAGGAAGGAGAGGACCGACGAACCAAAAGGCAAATCAGAATTCTGCAAGTAAAATTCCAACGTCTAGATTTACTCCTAACAGAAATCCTGAGCCCAGAAAGTCAGAGAAGGATTTTTAACATCCCAAACACGTCAGACTCTCACTGGAGAGAAAACTGAGGCCAAATGGTGTGAGTATATGAAGCCCTGTTTATAAATAGTTCAGTATCCAACAGAAGTGTTCTCGTTAGCAACTGGGAAGCCAGTTGTCCCAGAGAAAAAATCTTCACGGGTAACGCTGTGGTCAGCAAGGAATCCATCATATGCTTAAGTCTGGCTTCAAGAGATGCAGTAGCTGAATAATTTCATTAAGACACAAACCAACACTTCTTAGAAGGCCACCTCGCCTAGATGGACATAACAGAATATAAGATAAATAGCCACTTTTGGTTTCAGATTGGTAAAATTCCTCTTTGCGGTCCAAGCAGGCAGGTATAAAGCCCTTTCATTAATTGAATGTGAACCAGTGTTTGCAAGAGACTCTCAAGTCCCCATCAAACAGCGGCAGAACAAAAGAGCCTTTTAATTTGATATGTAAGTCCATACTTTGAACAGTAAAATGGAATATCCAATGAATGCTTCGTACTCCAGGCAACTGACATGAAAGTTTCGCGTAATACATGTTTTTACTGATCCTGAAATAGGGCTCTTGTTTTGAAGACTTTGCATGTGTAATTAATAATAGCTTGAGATCATGTATATGCCACCATCTGAGCCAAACTGCTAAATATGCATGGCCCCAAAACTACACAATCAAGATCTGGAAAGCAGCAATTTTTCAAGACTGTAATTTAGGGTTTAAATGACAATGTAAGCCACACCAAGATGACATTATTTCCTTGCATCTAGCAAAATGAAGCTGTATCATCAGGTAGCAAAGGAGGGGGGAAGGCGGCATCCATACTCCTGACATGTTACAATACCCTCCTTTTAGCATCTCACAAAGCATGTTTTGTTCAGAGAATGAATGAGGACAGCTCTCTTCTGTGCATTTTATTAAAACTTGAAAGCTATGGCTTGCAGCCATCAACGACGCCTATTGGGTTCCAAAAGCCTCATGTTCAAATCTGACTCGTTAGCAAATCCACCCAAATCAACATCGCTCATCTAGACATTGCAGGATATTCAGCAAGTCTGACGTTTTTAATCGGGAAGGATTTTCTACCGTTACTGAGCAAATAAAGGTTCTTTGTAGCAATGGCTGGAAACGCAACATGAGCCCTTTCTTCACACCAAAAGAACTCATAAATAGTTCACCGGGTGAACCAAAGACTTTATTTTTCAAAAGCAGGTAACACCAAAGTACTATGTGGTATCCGTATTCATTGCAAAAATGATAATTACTGGAATTTTCCAAACATCAAATGAAGTAAGGGGGATCCATGGTTACCACTATCATTTTCAACCAATATACAGATGTTCGCTCAAGGTCTAGGTTTTATTTTTACATAGTAGTATTCACATGAGTTCCCTAAGCTGAATTATTGTCAAATCGAGGACTCTTGAAGGTCGAGCCCAGCTTTGTCTTGACTTCAAAGATGACACAGCAGCCAACCTAGAATCCTGGCTTGCTGCTTGAGTCCTGGAAATCATGTCTTCTGATGTTTTACAACAAGCCATGTCTCTGAAAACTAAAATCAGACTTCAGATTCCTCTGAAACAGCTCTGGTTCCCAAGTGTTCCGCACCATGGTACCCAGACATGCTCAAAATGTGCTTTCCCTTATCTTCCAAAACCCACCACCAGGAACCCAAAAGGGACCCCACTTTGGGAGTTCCATGATGAAGGTGTTTAAGAACCACATGAACCCCAAGTAAAGGCAGCGGATGAAATTATCCATTTCTTTTCCTTTTCTTTTTTTAAGTGAGACTACACTGGCAAATGGGAAAATGACACCGATCATATGATTAGAGAAAATGGTTTTATAAATCCTCCTCTTGAAATTATGTTCAGGCCCCACACGGTAGCTCATGCCTGCAATCCCAGCACTTCGGGAGGCCAAAGCAGAAGGATCTCTTGAGCCCAGGAGTTTGAGACCAGCCTGGGCAACACAGTAAGACCCCGTCTGTTTTTTTTTTTTTTTTTAAAAGAAAGAAATTCTGTTCAAAAGCATTTCAGACCAAAAGGAGGTCATAAAAACTGTTCATATAATTACCCTATGAGAAAAAAATCCCTGTATGGAAAGGGGCACTGATGATCTGGCACAGAGAAACAAGGGGACACAGGGCAGTGATAAAATCCAGCCCTGGTATTCTAGGATGCATTTATGACCTCATGGATATGTCTGTACTGCGTGTTAATAGCCCCTCTTTTTACTTAAAAAAAAAAAAAAATTAGGAAATTAAAGTGAATCTGTGTGCTAATGAAGTCTGAAGTTACAGATTCTAAAAGCCAAGCCTGTAAAGTCTATAAGGCAAGATCTTTATCATCAGGGATGGGAACAGATGGATAAGATAATGGTAGGCACTAAAGGCTGGTTCAGCTGAGCTCTGAGCAGAACAGCCTCAAAAATAAGGCAACTGTGGCTTCTCAGTTTGAGACTGCCACCAGAAAGGCCCACGGAGGCAGGAAAAAAGAGCCACTGATGGCAGATCACTGGAAGATACTCGGAGAGGGCAATGATCACAGTTAGATGGGAGGACTCAGGGTCACAGGGAGGCAGGAAACCGTTGAACTGACACTCAAGGGGAATGTCTTTGCAAGTCCTATGCACGACTCCAAGCAGCAATTTTTGGGGTTTGGAGGTTTGTTAGTTTTGCGACATTTCCCCCCAGAAGAAGACATGAAGGTGGGCCCCCTGGAGAGGTGAGACCACCAGGGCAGAACCTCCACCAGGTGTGAAGCTTGATGAGAGGTGGAAAGGACTTCCTGCGGCACCCGGCTCCCTCCACGTCTGGCTGAGTCCTACAAACGCTTGTAGGTGCCCAGGAGAGCTCTGCAGTTGGGACAGTAATGGTCCACGTCCTGCAGGGCGTCCACGCAGAAGGGGATGAAGCAGCAGCCCGCTACGCACCTGGGAGGGGAGAGAGACACGTGGAGCACGTTACTGACCACAATAGGATGGACACTGGCTGCCAAAAACATGTTCATGTCCTTCTTTGTAAAAAGGGTCTTTGCCAGTATAATTAGGAATTTTGAGATGGGATCATCTTGGATTATCCAGGTGGACCCCCAAAACCCAATGACCTTAGAAGAAGAGGAGAGGACACACAGAGATTCAGAGAGGGCAGAAGGGCATGTGAAGACAGAGGCAGAGGCTGGAACGATGAGGCCATAAGCCAAGGAACACCTGGAGCTACCAGAAGCTGGAGGAGGCAAAAAAACATTCTGCCCTGAAGCCTTAGGAGGGAGCGTGGCCCTGCTGACATTTGGGGTTTTTTTTTTTTTGGTTTGTTTGTTTATTTGTTTGTTTTGAGACGGAGTCTTGCTCTGTTGCCCAGGGTTCAAGCAATTCTCCCTCCTCCTGGGTTCAAGCAATTCTCCTCGCCTCAGCCTCCTGAGTAGCTGGGACTGCAGGCGCATGCCACCACGCCCAGCTAAGTTATGTATTTTTAGGAGAGACGAGGTTTCACCATGTTGGCCAGGCTGGTCTCAAACTCCTGACCTCAAGTGATCCACCTGCCTTGGCCTCCCCAAGTGCTGGGATTACAGGCGAGAGCCACCATACCCGGCTCCTGCTGACATTTTGATTTTGCACTTCTGGCCCCTAGAATTGTGAGAGTCAATATCTGTTGTTTTAAACACTAGGTGTGTTGTAATTCGTGATGGCACCCCTAGGAAATTAACATGCCAGCCAACGCCAAGGCTCCTCCTAAGGACAGACCCCCTTTGAGCATGATTTTCAAATCTTGAGTCATTTGGGAATCTTTCAAAGTCTTAGATGGGCTTGGTGAACTTTTTTTTGCAAAGGGCCAGATAGTAGATCTTTTAGTCTTTTTGTTGCTGTTCTTTGTTTTTGTACAGATGGGGTCTTGCTATGTTGCGCAGGCTGGTCTTGAACTGCTGGCCTCAAGTGATCCTTCCACCTCCGCCTCCCAAAGTGCTGAGATTACAAGTGGAAGCCACCACACACCCGGCCAGATACTTTCATCCTGATGAGCCATGGAGTCTCTGTTGCCACTACTCAACTCTGCCCTTGCAACGAGAAGACAGCCACAGAGAATCCAAAAACCAATAGGCGTGGCTATGTTCCTGTGAAACTGCAAACAGGCGCCTGGCTCCAGGGCCGTTTTGCCAACCCCTCTCTTACTAATCTCTTTGCCATATACACAGGCTGCTTCTTACAGCAACCAAGTAGAATTCCCCAAATAACAACTCTTAACCTACATAATCCACCATTGGCACACACAGGCAGGAACGTCAGACAGCCTGACAACCAATGTTTGTCAAAAACGTGGTTAAAACTCAGCCTTTTACGGGAAGACGCTGGTTTACATAAGGCAAAATTTGGAAACATTCTGATGAGGAAATTATCTCATGAAAGAAATTTCCTCCTATTGCCTAAGCTTTCCAGAGCTCAAATAAGAGCAGTCAGTCTGTTCAGCAGGAGTCCTAACCTATGGCTTACAGGTGCAGGCACGGCTCCAGGCAGCACACACATATATTTTATCCTCGGCAGCCCCTGAGGTGGGCCTTATTGCCCCGCCCCCCCGTCTATAGATGAGGAACCGAAGCACAGAGAGGTAAAGTCATTTGCCCATGGCCACACAGCTAGTGAGAGGCAGGATTTGAACCCACTCTACCATGTTTAAGGAAGGAACAAAGGGAGGGAAACAAAGGCTGCCTCAATTTGTAAAGCCAGATTGGCAGAGGCCAATACTCAGTGTAAGTTTCTATTCCTCTATAATTCCAGCACTTTGGGAGGTCAAGGCGGGAGGATTGCTTAGGTCCAGGAGTTTAAGACCAGCCTGGGCAGCATAGTAAAACCCCCGCTTCCACACACACACACACAAAAAAAATTTTAAACTAGCTGGGTATGGTGGCACACACCTGTGGTCCCAGATACTCAGGAGGCTGAAGTGGGAGGATTGCATGAGCCCAGGAGGTCAAAGCTGCAGAGAGCTACGATCGTACCACTGCACTCCTGCCTGGGCAACACAGCAAGACTCAGTCTCACACAAAACAAAACAAAGAAGTTTCTATTCTGTCCTTTCCCTGACTTCAAAGATAAAAATTTGTTTTAATACAAATATCCAGAGGCAATGGACTTTTTTTTTTTTTTTTTTTTTTTTTAGCATTTTCTGCCCATGGAATGAAAACAACAGCAGAGTCCTGTGGGCAAGAGGGGGAATCAGGTGCCCAGAAAGCTGTTTTGTCTCCTTCCTTCCTTATTTAACACATGACCTCGAGGAAGTTAACTACACTCTCCGGGACTCTGAGCCTCTTACTGAAGTTAGGAAGAGAAATATTGTTCCTTTTCAACCTCAAGTCACCAAAGGACAATGTGGAGGAATGTGTTGGTTGCATGAGGCTCCTGAAACTCACAAACGTCGGTTCCTTCAAGGAAAAGAATGGAGCCCCTTGGGGTTTTCTGAGTGGCTCACGTGGCCAGGAATAAGGAAGCTACTTTTACCTGCTTGGTGGGAAACAAAAAATTGATTGTGTTTCCTCAGATTTTTCTCCCAGAACAGAAACTATTATCTCTTTAAACATAATACCCTGGGTGCAGACATAAATATTTACATAATTCCCACGCATGGGCAACGGGAAAAATACTTTGGGTCATAAAAGGATAAGAAGTTTTGAAGCGATTCCTATGAAGAATTTTAATGTACAGATTGTTTAAAGCTTCCCTCGGGCTCCAGCAAACATTATTATTTAGGTCATGAAATTCTAGAAGAAAAGGAACCCCTGAGGGTATTGCCCTACACACAGCTGGAAGCAGCTGTGAAGCTTGTCCCCACGCGCAGATAAGCAAGAAGAAAAGACGGAAGACCAATTTCTGGGGACTGATAGAGCAGTAGGGATGACTTGGCCTCCCAGGGGGTATTTTTGGTCAGAAGTGGGGAGCGTAGTGCTCCTGGCATCAAGCGAGTGGGGGCCAGGGATGCTATTCAATATCCTACAATGCACAGGACACCCCCTACAATCAAGAAATGTCTTGGGCCAGGCATGGTGACCCATGCCTGTAATCCCAGCACTTTGGGAGGCTGAGGCGGGCGGATCACCTGAGGTCAGGAGTTCGAGACCAGCCTGGCCAACATGGTGAGACCCTATCTCTACTAAAAATACAAAATATTAGCCGGGCGTGGCGGTGCACACTTGTAATCCCAGCTACTAGGGAGGCTGAGGCAGGAGAATCGCTTGAACCCGGGGAGCAGAGGTTGCAGTGAGCCAGGATCACGCCACTGCACTCCAGCCTGGGCAACAGAGTGAGAATCCGTCACAAAAAAAGAAAGAACTGTGTTAGGCCAGGCACAGTGGCTCACACCTGTAATCCCAGCACTTTGGGAGGCCGAGGCGTGCAGATCACCTAAGGTCAGGAGTTTGAGGCCAGCCTGGCCAAGATGGTGAAACCCCGACTCTATTAAAAATAAGCTGGGCGTGGTTGTGTACCCCTATAATCCCAGCTACGCAGGAGGCTGAGGCAGGAGAATCGTTTGAACCTGAGCAGTGGGGGTTGCAGGGAGCCGAGACTGCCCCACTGTACTCCAGCCTGGGTGACAGAGTGAGACTCCATCTCAAAAAAAACCAACACAAATGTCTGGCCTGAATGCCAAGCATGGTGCGGTTGAGAACCCACCCCGCCGCCAGCACCCGGAGAGAAGGGCAGGAGGGCTTGGGGCCAAGTGGGAGGCAGACTCACCCCAGCAGGCACAGGCTCCCGCAGGACAGCCAGGTCAGGGCACCGGCATTATAGGACAGCTGACTCACGATCATCTTGTTGCAGGAGGGACAACACATTTGAACAGGGCGGTCCAGAAAGGAGATGGGGTGCTGCACATAGACCGTCTGCACGGTAACTGATGAAAGGGAGAGGGACAAACACAGGCTGCTCAGGAAACAAGGCCAATAGCATTCACAACAGGACAAAGAGAGGAACGCAGGGATGCCAGCAAATACTATAATTGTACATCCGTGTTCATAGCATGCGTTCGTCATTTGGCTACCTATGAGAGCCAAAAGGGGAAGGAACACAAGTGTCCATTGATGGACCAATGAATTAACACAGCAAGGTTTCTCCATCCACCAGAATATGATTCAGCCTCAAAAAACAGGAGGACCGGGCGCAGTGGCTCATGTCTATAATCCCAACACTTTGAGAGGCCGAGGTGGGAGGATTGCTTGAGCCTAGGAGTTCGAGATCAGCCTAGGCAACATGACAAGACCTCATCTCTACAAAAAACTATAAAAATTAGCCCGGCGTGGTGGTGCATGCCTGTAGTCCCAGCTACTCAGGAGGCTGAGGTGAGTCAAGGTGATCACTTGAGTCTGAGACATTGAGGCTGCAGTCAATCATGACTGCGCCACTGCACTCCAGTCTGGGCAACAAAGTGAGATTCAGTCTCAAAAATAAATAAATAAATCTTAACCAGCCTCACACTGTGACTAGCAGCCCTTGATAAACAATCCACTCTTTTTACCCAGACCCTTTGATAAACTCTGACACCCAATGATAAGGGTAGAGTTTACCAAGCCAGGAAATGCAGGTCTACTCTATAAGACAATAAGCTCGTGAACTGTGTTGACACAAGAAATGAAAATATGAAATAATGCTCGGAAGAAAAAGCTATGTGAAACCATGTTTGAACATTCACAAGAATCAGAAGAGAATCCATTCCGGGTGCAGTGGCTCACACCTGTAATCCCAGCAAATCCCTTGGCTTTCGGAGGCCGAGGCGGGTGAATCACCAGAGGTCAGGAGACCAGCCTGGCCAACATGGTGAAACCCTGTTTCAAAAGACAAAAATTAGCCAGGCATGGTGGCACGCACCTGTAGTCCCAGCTACTTGGGAGGCTGAGGCAGGAGAATCATTTGAACCCGGGAGACAGAGGTTGCAGTGAGCTGAGATCACACCACTGCACTCCAGCTTGGGCAACAGAACAAACTCTATCTCAAAAAAAAAAAGAGAATCCAGGGTGATGACAATCATTAAGCACTTCAGTTGTTAAGCTCATATTTTTGTCAAAGCAACTTCCTTCTCTTCCTTTTTACGTTGTTAGAATGCCATTTATGTAACAAATGGATTAGGAGAATATTACTACCTAGAGTTAACTGAACTTAGTAATACTCACAGATAAGACCCTCCTTCCAGAAAAGTAGTATTGAATCATACTTGAGCACTTACGTGAAATTTTTTTTTTGAGGAGGGGCCAGAGTCTTGTTCTGTTGCCCAGGCTGGAGTGCAGGGGTATAATCATAGCTCACTGGAACATCAACCTCCTGGGCTCAAGCAATCCTCCCACCTCTGCCTCTCAAGTAGCTGGGACTACAGGTGCAAGCCATCACACTCGACTAATTTTATTTTCATAGAGACAATGTCTCACTATGTCACTCAGGCTGATCTGGAACTCCTGGCCTCAGGTGATCCTCCTGCCTCCGTAGCTAGGATTACAGGCACAAGCCACCACACCCAGTTCATACATTTTATTAAGTGTTTTTAGGGTTCAAAAATAAGTTATTTGGGCCAGGCTCTGTGGCTCATGCTGATAATTCTGACACTTTGGGAGGCCAAGGGAGGTGGGAAGATCGTTTAAGCTCAGGAGTTAAAGATCAGCCTGGTAACACAGTGAGATCCCATTTCTACAAAAATTTAAAAACTAGCCAGGTGTGGTGGTGTATGCCTGTAGTCTCAGCTATTCCAGAGACTGAGGTGGGAGGATCACTTGAGCCCAGAAGGCCCAGGTTATAGCGAGCCATGACTGCACCACTGCACTCCAGCCTGGGCAACATGGTAAGAAACTGTCTCAAAAAAAAAAAAAAAAAAAAAAAAAAAGAAACTATGGATCACAGGATGGTCTAAGAATCCAGCTCAAGCGGTCAAAATAACTTGAACACAACAAGAAGAATTCACTTTTATCGAATGAGTACTCTGTATTTGGCACACAGAACTTCCTTTCATGTTAACAACCCACTGATATTTGTAAATAGGTACTGGATGAAACCTGTTTTACAAATGGGGAAGCTGAGGCACAAGGAGGTTATGTGAACCCAGGTGGTCTGATTCACGGGTCCCCTCTCTGAGCTAAAGATTTCTTCCAGAACTGCTTGTAATACTGAAGCAGTGACATACCAGGGCACACTTGGGCAGAAGGAAGCACCCAAGGCCAGGGACCATCTGGTTGCTCAAAAGCAGAAGAGCAACTTGCGTTGAGGGTGAGCTGGTATGAAAACACAATCACACACTGCTCAGGACAGTTTCTTCTCCCTGTTCCTACCTCAGCCCTGGCCTCAGGGCAGAAGTTCTGCATCAGACCTTAGGAGGAAGGGTGGGGGCCCTTAAGACACAAACTCCCATTCTCAGAAGAAAGTTGGTTGTGCCTCCGTGAGACATGCCAAATGATTCGTATATGATGATCATGGGAAGATCCTAAACCATACTTCATTATAGAAAAGCCATGAGCCTCACCAACATGGAATCTAAAAGACTGTGTGTGGCCGGGCGCGGTGGCTCCTGCCTGTAATCCCAGCACTTTGGGAGGCCGAGGCTGGCGGATCACAAGGTCAGGAAATTGAGACCATCCTGGCGAACACGGTGAAACCCCGTCTCTACTAAAAATACAAAAAAAATTAGCCGGGCGTGATGGCGGGTGCCTGTAGTCCCAGCTTCTAGGAGGCTGAGGCAGGAGAACAGCGTGAACCCGGGAAGCGGCGGAGCTTGCAGTGAGCGGAGATTGCGCCACTGCACTCCAGCCTGGGCGACAGAGCGAGACTCCGTCTCAAAAAAAAAAAAAAAAAAAAAAAAAGACTGTGTGTGGAATTTCAAGGTAAGGGGATAAAACTGGAACATACTGGCACTTCACTTAGACTCTTTGTCAGAGTCACTTCGGTCACTCTCCTGATTCCCACTCTCCTGACTCCCAGGGTGGAGGGTCAAGGAATGGTAAGGGAGGCCTAGGAGGCCACACGTACTTGGATTGTTATTGGGGATGGGCGCTGCCTGGGTAAAATACGAAGGAGGATTCATGCCCTTCCCATCAGGCCCTGTCACAAGCCCCGTAGTTGGCCCAGGCATGGGAGCTGGAGGCGTGGGGTAATAACTGTTAACAGCCACTGTCTCTTCATAGGATGGAGGTGCAGATGGCGCTGCGGAAGGCCCAGTGGCCGCCTGGTAAGGTCCTGGAACCGACATTTTACCTAAAACAGAAACAGAACATAACAGATAAGAAATTCAATTGATCTCTCCCTCTCTCTTTTTCACCCAAGTCTTCAATTTTCTTTCTGGCAAACAGAAATTCTGAGAAAATGACTTCAATCCAGCTTTGTCCAAAACCCAGGAAGAGGGTTAATGTCCCTTCAAGACCCCAGAATTATTATCTTAATGGATTCCCTAAATAAAAATCAAAAAGTAAATAATTTCTACCAAAAATCACCAAAACCTGGAAAATCCCAAGTGGAAACATCAACCAAATACGAGTTACTTCTTCTCCATATCTTAAACCATTACCGGACAATGACCTATCTTCCATAGCTGATGTTTCTTCTTCTTCTTTTTTTTTTTTTTTTTGGTTTTTAAACCACTGTGGTTTTCACTAACTGTTTCAGGTAACGGAAAGGATAAAGGCATTCAAAAACCAACCACAAACTATCGCATCGCAAATAGCAAAGGGGCCAGATGCCACAAAATGAACACTGCATGATACTATTTAAATAAAGGTCAGAAATAGGCAAAATGAATTCATGGGGCGGTTACTCTTGTACTGTTGGGAGAGGAAGAAGAATCTGAAAAGGGGCACGAGGGGGCCTTTGCAGGGGGCAGGTCCTGTTCTCGTTCTTCACCTGGGGGCTAGTTACAGCGATATGTTCAGTCTGTAAAAAGCTGAGTTGTACAATTAAAATGTATATACTTTTTAGTATGTGTGTTATAGTTTTTTGTTTTTTTTTTTTGAGACAAGATCTCACTCAGGCTAGAGTGCAGTGGTGCGATCTCAGCTCACTGCAGCCTCCACCACCCAGGCTCAGGTGATCTTCCTGCCTCAGCCTCCCACGGACTACAGGCATGCGTCCCTGCGCTCAGCTAATGTCTTTATTTTTTGTAGAGACGGGAGGCTCACTTTAATGTCTAGGCTGGTCTTGAACTCCTGGGCGCAAGTGATCCTCCTGCCTTGGCCTCCCAATGTGTTGGGATTAAAGGTGTGAACCACTCTGCCCAGCCTGTGTGTTATAGCTTTTTAAGAAGGAAATACACATAGACTGCAGTTCCCATTTTGAAAAATGAGCACCAGAGCAGCCAGGCACACATTTTCTTTTGTGAGGGCAAAAAAAGGATTTCCCTCCAGCCCTGGCAGAGCTGCTGCTCGCCTAGAATTACACCCTGCACCCAGAGTGTGCTCCTGTCTGACGTTCCGTGCTCCAGCAGCCATGGGGCAGCTGGAGGCAGACACAGTGCTGTTCTTTGTGTGACTGTTTTTCTAACTGGGCAGGGTTCAGGCTGCCTTAGAAGAGCCATTCAAATCTGTCTCGGGAGAAATGGGAAACGAGGCTCCAGGGCAGCGAGCCACACAGCACAGGGCTCGGACAGGCCTGCCACCTCTCCCCTCTCCCTACACTGTCTGCCTCATTTTCTAGAACTCGTGGGAAGCCAAGGCAGCAATTAATCCCACTGCAGGGAGAAGGGTGGAGTCCTTCTCGGAAGCCCTGCCTCTAAACCAAGCCCCAAGGAGGAGACTTCTCTGGAGGAACCGAAGAAAGGGTATTCACCTCAAAGTGGAAACAGAGACCACGTGTGGTGGCTCACACCTGTAATCCCAGCACTTTGTGGGATCGAGGTGGCAGGATAGCCTGAGCCCAGGCAGGATCTCAAGACTAGCCTGGGCAACATGGTGAGACCCCCATCTCTAAAACAAAACAAAAGGGCTGGGTGCAGTGGCTCATGCCTGTAATCCCAGTACTTTGGGAGGTTGAGGCAGGAGGATCACTTGAGCCCAGGAATTCACGACCAGTCTGGGCAACATAGTGAGACCCTGTCTCTACAACGAATAAAAAAATTAGCCAGGTGTAGTGGCACACACGTGTAATGCCAGCTACTTAGGAGGCTCAGGCAGGAGGACTGCTTAATCCTGGGAGGTTGAGGCCTCAGTGAGCCATGATCACGCCACTGCACTCCAGCCTGGGCAACAGAGCGAGACCCTGTCTCAAAAACAAACAAAACAAAGTGGAATAGAGGCGCGGAGAGTGAACATGATAAAAAGAAAGTCAGTAAGTAAAGATGGGTTGGGGCTGCGTTCAAGAAAACTTTGAAGGTCTCTTGGAGAACATGTGTTCAAGACTTCATTCTATCATCAGAGCGTGCTGTTCAACAGAACCTTCTGTGATGACTGAAATGCTCTGTATCTGCTGCCCGATATAGCAGCCACCAGTCACGTAGGGCTGTTGGGTACCTAAAATGTGGTTTGTGGCCAGGCACAGGGACTTATGACTGTAATCCCAGCACTTTGGGAGGTGGAGGCAGCTGGATTACTTGAGCCCAGGAGTTCAAGACCAGCCTAGACAACATAATGAGACCCTGTCTCTACAAAATTTTAAAAATTAAAAAAATTAGCCAGGCATGGTGGTGCACGCTTGTGATCTCAGCTACCCAGGAGGCTGAGGTAGGAGGATCACTTGAGCCTAGGAGGTGGAGGCTACAGTGAGCCATGATCATGCCACTGCACTTTAGCCTGGGGATAGAGCGACATTCTATCTCTAAAAGAAAAGAAGAATTGAGCTAGTGTGAGTGAGGAACTGAATTTTTTTTTTTTTTTTTAGCTTTCTTTCATCTTTTTACTTCCCAATGAATTTTTGCTTGTATTTAAGTTTAAGCAATTTAAACTTAAAAACTAACAATTCAATTATTGGGAAGCTTTCATGGAAGTCTGGGACGACTTGGGCATGTGAATCTACTTTTTCAATAGTAAATTTGATAACCACTGAATATAGATCAAAATGTTTTTTGATAAAAATTTAGCATTCAATTTGGGATCGAATGTCAATGTAAAAATACACCCTGGGTTTCAAAACTTAGTAGGAAAAAAACGAATGTAAAATATCTCATTAATAATTTCTTATGTTGATATATTAAAATGACCACAGCTTAGATATATGAAGTTAAGTGTATTGTTAATTTCACCTGTTTCTTTGTACCTTTCAAAATGTGGCTACTAGACCGGGCATGGTGGCTTGCACCTGTCATCCCAGCACTTTGGGAGGCTGAGGCAGGAGGATGGCTTGAGCCCAGGAGTTCTACATCAACCTGGGCAACATGGGGAGACACTGTCTCTACAAAAAAAATTTAAAAATTAGCCAGACATGGTGGTGCACCCCTGTGGTCCCAGCTACTTGGGAGGCTGAGATGAGAGAAACACGTAAGCCCAGGAGTTCAAGTGACCCGTGACTGCGCCTGGGCAAGACTCTGTCTCAATCAGTCAATCAATCAATAAAAAAAGAGGCCAGACACGGTGGCTCACGCCTGTAATCCCAGCACTTCAGAAGGCCGAGGCGGGCGGATCACCTGAGGTCAGGAGTTTGAGACCAGCCTAGACAACATGGTGAAATCCCGTCTCTACTAAAAATACAAAAATTAGCCAGGCGTGGTATTGGGCGCCTGTAATCCCAGTTACTCAGGAGGCTGAGACACGAGAATCGCTTGAACCTGGGAGACGGAGGTTGCAGTGAGCTGAGATCACACCATTCCACTCCAGCCTGGGCAACAGAGTTAGACTCTGTCTCAAAAATAAATAAATAAATAAATAAAATGTGGTGGCCAGGCGCGGTGGCTCATGCCTGTAATCCTGGCACTTTGGGAGGCTGAGACGAGTGGATCATTTGAGGTCGGGAGTTCGAGACCAGCCTGGCCAACATGGTGAAACCCCATCACTACTAAAAACAAAAAATTAGCCAGGTATGGTGGCGTACACCTATAATCCCAGCGGTTAACCCGGGAGCCAGAGTTTGCAGTGAGCCGAGATCGTGCTACTGCACTCCAGCCCGGGCCACAGAGCGAGACTCCATCTCAAAAAAAAAAAAAAAAGAAAAATGTAGCTACTAAAAAATATTAAATGACGTAATGAAGCTTGCTTTCTGCTCCTAATACACAGCAAAGCTATGAGCCATGGGAGTCACAGAAGGTTATAGAGAAGGGGAAAGGCCCAACCCCAGAAAAGACAGATGAGACAGACGGTCTCTCAGAGGAGCAAGAAGCAAAGGAGAGAAAGCCACAGAAGCAGGAGGGCAGGGTGGGGGAGTAATGAGATCACAGGAGGCGTTTGTGAAAACAGGCTCGGGTTTAACACTAAGACTGACGGTGTAAAGTGGTTTGAGGCATGTTGCTAGTTTCCTCTGACATACAGGAATAGAAATGCAAAAGTCCCAGCTTGCCCCTAAAGTCAGCTGACCTCCCTTCCAGAGGCCCCCCGGGAACCCCTGATGTCTGCTTCTGGCCTTGTTGAAACTTCCAGCAAAGGGAACGACAGGGCACCCTGGGGCTCTGGACTGACCTACATCCGGGATGAACGTCGAGGACTCGCCATCACAGCCCCAGACCCACCTCCACGATTTATGATGAAAACTGACTCGTATAAAAACTTACAAGACGAGAAAAAGCCAGTGTGTACAGAAATCTTCAAGGAGCATGGTCGATCGTGATTGCCAACGGAATGCTTTGAGGGAAAACAAGGCCTGGGGCATCCTAAACCTCCAAGAGGCAATGGCTGAACTCGGCAGCAGCGCAATTCCTGCAAAATCCACGGCCTCTCCTCCCAAAGTCAGGAAATGGCATTTTTAAAGAGTCAACAAACAGGTGTGGGGGATGGGAGGACGGGAGCTTTCTTTTGATGACCCTTAAAGGATGGGTGGACCCCAGTTTCTCATTCTGGAAATTAAGGATTTGGCCACTGCCTCTCCCCCTTTATTGAGACCATCTTTCATGTGGTCACATCTTATCTTCTGGGACTTTGAGACACTGCCTCTTTTGAGCATTGCTTTGAGATCAAACAGCCACACAAACACACTTATAATTCTGAAAAGAACAAGAGCAACAGGCCAGAATAGTAAAGAAGACTCATAACCGCTGGTTTGGAAGTTTTCTAAATAAATTCCACAGTCTTCCCTCTCTGAGGCCCCAAGGCCAGAAAATGCCACCACGGTTAGTCCCATTTTGT